ACAAATGTAGTATGACCTAGAAAAAAGTATCTTTAAAAGCTAGTCTTTGCAGTGAACAGTGGAAATCCCAGTATCTCAAGATCTATTTCACATCATCTGTCATTTCTGCACAGTGTGTTCCCATGCTTGTGTATTTTTATAGAATATCTGAATTATCTCTCTTGCTCAGACATCAAATTCTGCAACACGTGTCTATAGTAAGGATGGATTGCTTTTGGTTGCACAGACGAACTAATGGGAAAAACTACAAGTGGCTATGAATGTCTGCTTTTCTTTTGTAGATATCTGTCAAGGCTATGGTTTTCCCAGTTGCAATGTATGGCTGTGAAAGTTTGACCATAAGAAAGGCTGAGCGCCAAATAATTGAGGCCTTGGAACTATGGTGCTGGAGAAGACTCCTGTGAGTCCCCTTGAGCTGCACGTCGATCAAACTGGTCAGTCCTAGAGGAGATCAACCCTGACTGCTCTTCAGAAGGCCAGATCCTGAAGATGAAACTCAAATACTTTGGCCACCTAATGAGAAGGAAGGAATCACTGGAGAAGAGACTAATGCTGGGAAAGATTGAGAGCAATAGAAGAAGGGGACGACAGAGAATGAGGTGGCTGGATGAAGCAGTTGGTGTGAGCTTAAATGGACTCCGGGGGATGGTAGAGGACAGGAAGGCCAGGAGGAACATTGTCCATGGGGTTGCAATGGGTTGGACACGACTTTGCAACTAACAACAAAAAATCTTAAAGAAAATGAATGAGAACAGGGTGTTTTCTCCAGATTAGCTTCTCCATGAAAATAATAGGTGGGGAGGACGACCCCGTCTTTTCTTTGGCCCTGGGGTTTCTAGGAGCTGTGCTATGAATTAGATTGATAAGTTGGAGGAAAGACAGAAAATGGCAACAAACTGCTGTTTCTGTATTGGTTCCAGGAGAAACTATGGAGTTATGAAGTTCATGGATGTGTTAAACCAGTTCTGAATGTGTTAAATCCTTCCATTAGCTCATAGTCTTAAAAGAATGGAGTGCCTAATCTGTTACCCCAAGTGTTGCACTTTTTGGTTATTTCAACATTATTAATTTATAATGACACCCAAACATCACTGTGGCAATATAAAGTTTATTGTCCTTAGTGACATCCTATAGAATGGCTGGATGATATTATAAATTGCTAGTGTGGACAGCATATCCTTTCTATAACAGTTTGTGTGCTGGCTGAGATTTTCTAATCATTCATGGTGTTTATCCTGAGGGATGCAAAAAGCAAGGAGTTTGCTTTTCCTGTTTGTCACTAGACCTTTTTGCATGGTTGGTGGCCATTCAAGGTGGAAGGAGACGAGTTGAACAGGGATATAGACTTGTGATAAAGCTTTGCTGAACTTGCATTGTGACACATGCATGTCAGTGCCCCTTGTGTGACAGTCTCTCCCAACCAAAGCAATTATTTGGGATGTACTTGTGCTTTTGACACCTCAGCTTTTGGTTCTTTTGTTATACTGGTCTGTCAGGTTTTGGAATTCTTCTGCCCTCTTCTCCCTGATGTAAGTGCTAATAACTGAAGAAAATAGCAAAAGATGGAGGGGGAATATTGCAAATATTCCCTAGTGGACTTTCTTTCTTCCGATGTGGACATGCGATGGAAACACTAAGGTATAGGAGAGGAAATTACATGGCTATGAATATTGCCACTTTTTAACTTGGAGAAGAGACTACACCTTACATATTCCTATACACAACTCCTAATGGAGATTGCACGACAAACTTGAATTAATCTCTCTCAGTAAAAGACCCAATGGCTCTGTAGCAATCCTTTCCACCATGAACTCAGACCTGGTTCATGCCTAGAAACTAAGGCATTACCTGTATTCTGCAGTATATGTCAGGTGACATCTGTTTAATCAACTGATCTTCTTAAGGAAGGATAAGGATAATTAAAATAATCAGTGATGATGAAGTCTGTAGCAGAGTTGTCTCAAATAAAAAACAATAGGATCTCTCAGGACTTAAGAGAACTATAATGAAGTCTCATGGCAGTGCATATTTCTGTATTACTGGGAGGACTGAGTGAAGAACACAGGGACCAAGAGGACCACTGTACGGTTGAAGATGGAAACCCAAAATTGAGAATAGCAGAGATAAAAAGGTAATTGGATGGAATACTCTAGGAAAGAGAAATGAAGCAAAACAACTTATCAGTTGCTGTCAATCCAATGATTTCAAGGGTTGACTGTGGAAGTGATCATGAAGTAGTCATGTGCAAATTTCAAGCCAAACTAAAGCTTGGCTCATCCTGGAGATGATTTACCCATCTGGTCAATAAGAGTTGATATAGACTTGATGAAACATAAGCAATAATGAAATCTGGAGACAGGAAACACTTTTTTTTTCTTCAAAAACTAAATATGAGAAAGAAGCATTAACTTTCCATGAAATACATCATTGTTTCCTGGCCTCTTAATATCAGTTACTACATATCTGGAAACTCCACTGTGTATTTTCTGTTGAACTCCACTGTGTATTTGCTGTTTCCAGCAGGGCCATAGAATATTTCAGATTGCTGTTTCTGAAGCTGGAGTTTTCACTCTGGAGAGGAAAAGTCATCATTAGGATTTCGTTTCAGCCAACAACTGAAGTTTTTCCTTTGATGAAAAAAAACCTGAGGTAAAGATAAATTTTATTTATTTACTTATATCTTGTGTTTCTAAACCTCCCCATCTCCCTCAGTGATGGTATTGAAATTAAATGTTATGTGGGATGGTGGTGGTGGGGGATGCTTTCTGAAGAGAAACTTGATACCAACGATGACCCTGATCTCATAACACACTTAATCACAATTGGGGGAAGAGATGAAGCCTATGGGATACCAACAATGAAATTAGTTGATTCATTCAACTAACATGAAGAGAATAAGCTTATCCCTAAATAGACCCTGTCTTGCATAGCGATAAATGTGCAAGTTATACTTATCATGGGAAACCCCAAAATACAGTTGTCCTATTTTTGCCCAGTTAGTTCCGCAAGAAAAAGGTGTTGGAGAAAAAGAATGGATAAAAAAGGAAGTATCTTTGTTATATACTTCACTACTGATACCTGACAACATAAATACCCAATTCCAAGCACAGATTGGCTACAGTGCCCAAACCATGCCTAGTTTGCCCTGGCAGCACTCTCTTGCCACCTGCTTGAAGGGCCTTATGGTATATCATGGTTTGTGGCTGACATACAGCCTTGATTCAATGTTATTGTATGCTGCCAGAATCACTGCTAAGGAGATCTGAATGGGTAAAGGGGGGGTTGGCTGGGTTAATTGTGCTGTCAGTTTGAAGAGTTGTCAGTCCCACGGAGAAAAGTTACACTTTTCACAGAGTCTAAATAAAGGAATAAAGGAAGGTTTCAGTTGAAAATCAGGAAAAGCTTTCGAACATAAGAGCGACTGACTAATGGAACTGATTTTCTAGGGAGTGGTAAGTTTTAAACGCTCTGTGTTTTAAAATCTACCTTCATCTGCCAAAGGCAATCATAAATCAGGACAAATACTGGAGAAACTGAAATGGGGATTCATCATGAAGAGTTATTTAAATAAAAATAAAGACATTAAGTTCACTGACAGTTTTCATGGGAGTTTGTTTTTGGCTTTCAAGCCAATGTTACTGGTCAAATGTCAGAATACCAAGTTGGGAACTTATGGTAATTCCTTCTTGATCATTTACATGTCAATTTCATCATTCTTGTAATTACAAATGGGTTACAAATTAAGTGCCCCCCCCCATAATGATTGAAATATATCAATTATGTAAGTGCCACAGCACAAAACACATATCTATATAAATGACAGAAGAAAGGGCTGTTTTATGAACTGCAATGTATATGAAATATCTAGGATGATAATAATAGAAATAAACATTACCAGCATTGCCTCACCCTAAACATTAAGAGGGAAATTGTAGTCTCCTAGATCTGTGTAGTACTACAACTCCCATCACTTTGACCACAAAACAGGTGATTTTAACTGGTAGAGTTCAAGAGTCCAACAATCTCTGGCAACAGGGTTTCCTGGTAACAACTATAGTCAAGGCAAGGAAGAGAAGCCAGCTGTTGCAAAGGGGAACATTAAGATGATCATAGGAGATGCCAGCTTGTAGGAGCTGTACTTAGGCGGGATGGCTTTCTAAGCTATGATGACCACAAAAAAAGTACTAAGTCAGTAATAAGGATCTTCCCTAAGTTGTATCTTGGATTTCTACCTAATTTTATTTGGCAAAGTTATTTCAGAAATGTTTCCCTTGCCACAGGCTTTCATTACAATATGTAAATTGATTTACTGCTCTCATAAGTCAGACACTTCATGAAACAATTGACTGATATACAGCAGGAGTCCTCAACCCCCAGGTTGCGAACTGGCCTGTGGTCTGTTAGGAACCATTCTGCACATGTGGCAGGCGAATGAAACTTCATCTGCACATGTGCAGGATCTTGGTTGTACGCAAAATCATTCCCCTCAGCCCTTGGTCCATAGAAGACAATTTTTCTTCTGAAATCAGTCCCTAGTGGCAGAAAAGTTGGGACCAGTGATACACAGGACAAAGGGGATGCAACAGTGGTGGGATTCAAATTTTTTTACTACCGGTCCTGTGGGTGTGATGTGGTGGGCGTGGCAGGGGAAGGATACTGTAAAATCTCCAGTCAGAGGTGGTATTTGCCAGTTCTTTGAACTAGTCAAAATGTCCGCTACTGGTTCTCCAAAACTGGTCAGAACCTGCTAAATACTGCCTTTCGAATGCAACTATTGTGTACTTTGGGAACAGATAAATCCCCCAATTTATAAATTACTTTTGACTGACTTTGGCTTGTTAAGCATGTGTTTTGGAATATACCCCTTAGTCCACAGCTAGCAAGTTACTATAATCTGCTATAGTAAAATTTCTAGCTCTTATGATTCCTAGTCACAGCTTTGAGAAGATTAAATACTTCAAACTTTGAAACCTTGAAAGAAATATTTTATTCATCTATTATTGTAAGACTGAATGCAATGACAGTACATTAGCCTATTATAACTGTGTACAAAGAGAAAAGGTGAAAAATTGGGAAGGCTTATGGGAAATAAAAAAGTTAAAAATTAGGGTAATTTTGTTATAAAAACTATTAAGAACATTACTAATGCTTACAAACAGCTAAGGCACTATATCTTAAGACTACATATTCCATTTGCACTACAACATATAATGAAATACAGGTTGTAACTTATAAAAGAAAATAAGTCAAGGCTGGAAAATATTTTGCTTTTAAACAGAAAATAATCAGCTTTCATGACACGTCAGCAAAAAATGTGAAGTGACTGGAACTTATCTGACCAGCAATATGATGCTAGGATAAAGAAATACACTGGACATAGCAACCTACTTCTGAAGAGCTATTAATAGGTTTTTAAAAAAACCCAAACATCTCCAGATTGCTGAAATGTTACTATGGCTGAGCATAAGATAAAACTGCTCTGCTAATTACTTATGCTTATGTATTGTTAACTGTTTGAAAACGTATGGGACTAAAGAATTGCACAACAGATCCGTCATTAATTTCGAAGAGACATTAAGAAGACAGCCATGCTAGTCTATGGTGACAAAGTGTCAGAAAGAGTCTGGTAGCATCTTTGCTGACTAATACATTTTATTAAATGCCATAAGCTTTGGTGAGGTACAGCTTGCTCTACCAGGTATAAAGAATGGCTAGGGTGATATTTCCAGATCTAGGAGAACAAATAGTGTTGAATTTCCACTGGAATTTCCTCAAAGATATCTTAGGAAGTATATTTTTAAGCGACAACCCCCCCCCTCCAGTAAAAATTCAATCGCTAAGTAAATAACTGGAGAGCCAATCTAATGAAGTTGTGAAGGCACCAGGCTAGAAATCTAGAGACTGTGAATTTTAGTCTTGCCTTAGGCACAATGCCAGCTAGGTGACTTTGGGTCATTCTCTCTCAGCCCTAGGAAGAAGGCAAGAGTGAACCACTTCCAAAATCTTGCAACCTCCGCCCCCACTTCAGTGACTTGTCCAAAGTGTCATAATGATCAACATTGACTCAAAGTCACCAAACCAAACCCTAAAATCAACACCTGTTTTTGTTACCTTTCTATAACCCCTAAACTAGCTTGAGGGACTCAGCACTATTGAATAACATACAATAGGAAACAATTCAGCTCTTGGGCCAGATACCATCTTTTACCAGCAGTAATTATCAGGAATGCAAGAAGTTATTCATAGTTGATTTGCAAGGAATATGAATTTGTAATGAGAAGGACATAAAACAATATTAAAATTAAGCTCTTGGAATACGAAACTGATCTTGTGAGGGCAATTGTTTATCCTGAAGATCTGCTATACAGAAACAATAACTAAGCTTTAATTTATTTCTGTTGATGAATAAACTGTTGAAAGCAGGTTGTCTTTCATCTATGGTCTCAGATTTGTGGATCTGGAAGTTCTCTGAAACTATCATCGTCGTTCCCTTCCAAGCATGACAAGGCAAGTACATTAGTGACAGGATGGATCCAGGATGTTGTTTGTGTCACATGGCTAGAAAACAAACCAACAACAATTATTCAGAGATCAGCTTCAAAACTTACCCACCAATAAGGTATGCCAGATGTTTTGAAAAAAGCTACCCTAAAATTGTGAAAAACTAACAGTGAAGTTCCTTGATGCAGGGAGATAAGATTTACTGAGTAATGATTCAGTTAAAAAGTGAAGAAGAACATGTACGGTATTTCAATATTGAGAAATATACAATTCAGGTTTGTTTTAAAAAGCAAAATCATTTATGGAGGAATAGCCATGCAGATATTAGTTAGACAAAAAGATATTTGAGTAGTTCAGTTGAAAAAGGATCAGCTGTCATAGAAGCATCTTTCCCATCAAAGATAACATTTCAGAACTTCCCACACTGAAAGTATAACCTTAGAATTTTTCCCAAGTATTATCTAACATGCGATTTATTCATAAATATCAATTTATTTTTATGAATGGTTATTTGAATGTTTTAAGTTTTATATTTTACTCCAATAAATAGAAATGAAACTCACTTTGCTCCTCAAAGAAATAAAATAATATGTTAGCCTCTCTCTCAGTGTTTGCCTAAGACATTCCTCCTAGCCCATGATTCTAAGTTAGATTTAGGCTAGAATCTACCTGTTAGTGAACACAAGCATTTACTGGTAACTCCCATTTACTCTTCCCAGCCATAAGAATATTGAAAACTAATAGTGAATTCATTATTTATAAATCCTTATGTAGCCAATTGGCACCAATCACACAAAATACATATGCAGAAATGTCACGGCGTCTGGTTGGCATTCTGAAAAAGAGAATGACATACTGCAATCTTTTTGGGCAAGTCCCACATGTATCAATGAATTTATACTTTCCTAATCCAATTGATTGAGATGTTCTCTGATTTTCTATCTAAATTTGATCAATTTAGGCAGAAGATCAGAAAAGGGAAACTAAATCTACTTTATACCAACACCATTCACTATCGCACTTTTCCATATCTTTCTATCTTTTCAAACCACTCTTTCATCACATCTAACATACGAAGACATACGAAGAAAATAAAACTTTTTTGTTTTTTTAATTGGCTTAAAGTCAGGTAAGCTTTTTTCAATTTTCTCTCCTTTTCATTCCTGCAACTGTGCATGTAAACATTTTCTTTTCTCACAATTATAAATAGGGTGTTGCTGGTCTTGGCTTTTATTGTATAGAGCTGACAAGGACACCGTGGTTGCTTTCTGTATGGCTCTCTGCTTCTCTTCCTTTCATACAATATTGTATGCAGTATTCTTATCATTCTTGCTTTTTTCAGCCTTCTGTTAGTGAATACATTGATAAAATCCATCTTAAAATGGAAGTAATCAGAAAAAGCTCTGAAAGAATAAAAATGGTTACTTCTTAAGGCACTGAAAATTGTTCTCTTTATCCTCTATTTCTTCACATATTCTACTCTAAACCCTGCACCTGCTTATCTGGGAAGGAATCCTTTTTCTGAAGTTTATCTTAATTCTTTTTCCACAAGTTTTCTTCACTAGATTGCTTTCAGAGCCCATGCAACCCCCCCCCCGCCCAGTCTGCCATTCCTAACTGGCATGGCACCACTCATACTCTTCCTACCCCCATACATTTTTCCTAACCTGTGCTGGTGCCCTAGGTGACCTCCATAACCTCCTCGAACCCTTCTTAACCTACCCTGCACCCCATACGCCATTCCCAATCCACACAGTACTTCTTGTGCCTCCTGGGACACCTTTCCCAACCTATGCTTGCTCCCCAAATAACATGCCGCCTCTACTGCACACCCACACTCTCTTCCCAACCCACAAGGCACTGCTCGCGCACTCCTGTCTACCATTCCTGACCCGTAAACCCTTGATTTCCTCTGCCATCCGGAAGCAGTCACTTAGCAGCCTGCTTGCCTTGCACTTGCAACTTCCTGCTGGCTTCCCCACTGACTTTCTCCCTGTAAGCTTTTCCAAAGCAAAATGGGGAACCAGGAAGGAATTCTAGGGAAGGAAGGAGGGAAGAAGTGAATGAGGACAAGGGAGACACAGTGAGGAAAAGAGGTAAGGAAAGAGGGAGAGAGAGAGAGAGAGAGAGGATGGGAGGAGAGAAGGGAGGGAGGAAAGAAAGGAAGCAAAGAAGGATGGAAGAGAGGGAGGAACAAAGAGACAGGAAGTGAGAGAAAGGGAGAGAGAGAGGAAATAAAGGGTGAAAGGGAATGAGTATGGGAAGGAGGGGTGGAGGAAGGAAGAAAAGAAGAACAGTGAGAAAGAAGGAAGGGTTGAAGGAAGAAAAGTTTTTGATACTCCCTGCCAGCTTTCCATAAGGAAACTCAATGGAGAAGCTGGTAAGAAATAAATTACTTCCACTTCCACTGTTTTGCTAAGGAAAGTTCAGTGATCCAACAGGGCAATGCAGAATAGTAGTTTTTCTTGATTCTTAAACAATTATAGGATATGGGAAAAAAAACACAACAGGATTTGTCTTGCTCTGATCCGACCTACCTTTGCTTCAGAATATGGCCTATTACACAGAAATAAGGAATCAATGAAAAATTGAATAGATGTATAGCAGGGGATAAGCAGGATCAAATAATGTCAAGGACATGGAGCCAGATTTTAAAAAAACAATGATAAAGGAAACTAAAGATGCAAAAAGGAAGGATGAAAAAAGCTGTTTGATAAAGTATTGGTAACAATATTTTGGCAAAATATATTCTGAAAGTGACTAGATAATCAAGGAAGTTCAGAAATTTCAGAATTTAGTTGGTATAAATTGGCATTTTGGAGTTTTGCTTAGGTTGCTGCTGGCTTAACTAGATTGGGGGCGAGGAAGGGGGGAAACAAGGATTTTTGAAGTGCCCAGAATTCCTGAAAATTCCAGTTTTGCATCAACTTCAGCCTTGTTTTCTGAACATTATCCGTCTAGAAGCTGGATCAATTTATTTCTGACTGTGCTTCACTATGTAGGAAATTGCATAAAAGCCAGTATTGTGCTAATCTTTTCTTTGTATTAAATTCCTGTAGTCCATTTTCATGTTGTTATGCCCATTTTTTCATTAGCAAGAATACTCAACCTGTCAGTCAAGCTCCTCCAAGCAGACGTTTTGAAAAACAGAGCTGGGAACAAAATAATCATTTATACCTCAGGAATGGTAATCATTAGAAACAGCCCATTTACTGAGAAGCACGAGGCCAAGTCAGAACCTATACCTCTTAATTCAGGCCCAGCGGGTTTTTCTGGGCCTGAATTTTGATTTCATAATCAAAAATCGGAAAAAGAATCTGGTGGCATCTGTTAAAAAAGGATTTTATCAATTAAAAATCATAATGTGTTAAATCCATTGTCTTTGTTCAGACTTTCTGAAATAATCTAAAACCTCTTATATTCAGTTATGCCGGCAAAGTTTCCTTGTTCTGAAATTGCTTCACTGAGATTTCTATTGGAATGTCCCGAGAGGTTAAAATGCTCCATTATTAGTTTATGCTTGCTGAGTCCTGATGTCCGACTTGTGACCATGAATTCTTTTGTGCAAATTCTAGACTGCCTGACACAGAATCCAAAGGTGCACTGCTGAAAGACAAAGGGAACAAGCCCAGATGTCTGCTTTGCTCTCACTTTTATAATAACAGAACTATTATGGGCTCCAACAACTTTCAGATCCTCTTCCTCTAATGTGTGTATAACATCATGCTTGTAAATTGTATCCCATGTAGCCTTTTCACTGTGTTAGTCCACTGTCTGTCCTTCTCCACCTCTATCCTTTTGCAATGTACTGTATTTGTAAATTCAGAAATGAACTTGGTACAAAAGAACCATAAATGATGGAGTTGGATAAGCAATTGGATGGTGCAGACTCAAAGCAAGCATGAGAATAATAAAGAACTGAGAATAATGCCTCCTTGATTTCATTAGTGTAAGAGGGGAAATATGGAAACATAGACAAGCCTTCAAGATGCTGCTATTATATCCTTCAAAGTAGGCCAGACCACGATAAACATCGCAGGGATCCCCAGACATGCTAGTTCAACCCTTCGACTATGTCCAAATACTTTTACTGATCTATTTTCAGACAGACATGCATAAAATAATATAATTTACTGTACATCAAATAAAAATGTTAGAAAATACGGCACAAAAGACCCTAGAATTACAACCATATCAGCTTAGTTTTTGGGGAGGAAAATAAGGGGAAAAATTGTTCCTCTGCCTACCAGCATCCATCGGTATTCATCTGGTTAGTGTCCTGTCTGTGTGTGAGATAGTTGAGGGCTGTTTAGAAACTGAAACATGGAAAATGAAACAGTATTTGCTGTATGAGCAAGGAGGAGACAGCAAGGAGCCTGGGCATGGCTTAGCTCAACTGTTCTGTATTAAAGCTGGCTGCTGCTGCGAAACTAAAACTGAAACTCCTCTCCTCTGCTTGTGTTCTGCATTTGGAACAGATTTCTTTTCAAGTGGGAATTCCTGAGCATCAGAGTGCGTTAATAATATATGAAATACTAATGCTCTGATGGTCATTTTGAAAAATCCTTTCTTAGTGAGTATGTAGAAACCAAGAGGAACATACGTGCCAAATTTCAAAATATATATGTATATCCTATCTCTGAAATCCAATATTTTATGCTTAGGTTTTATTAATGACAAGAACATGTTAAATTGTTCGTCATAAACAATGTATCTGCTACACACGGATTCTAGAAGGTAGATACCACTTACCTGTGTGAGTTTCAACCTTATTTCATGACACATTGGAATTCTTTGGAAAAAAGTGATGGAGTCTCAATACTTTGGCATACCCGAGGAGAAACATGCTCCTCACACATTGCAGAGATCAGATAAAGAGACACAACCCCTATTTTTCTTCAAAGAAAGACCTCACTTATTTACAGGTTATACAAACTGTACTTCAAAGTGTGTTTCCAGGAATGCTTGTTAGTTCCAAAATATCATTTCTGGACTGCCAACAGTGGTCGGCCATATAAATCAAAGAGATGGAGCTTTCTTTTTAGACGAAGTGATTT